CCGCCCCCCGCCGCGGCCGCTTGCTCTTGTGTATTTTTCAGGCAAGGCGCAGTTCATCTCAAACGAGCTTATTGTCTATGGTCTATGGATCAAGCCGAGCGCTTCTTCCTACGTCTTCAAAAACGTAGGTGCTGATTGGCCGAAGAGGAGTCCTGTGTATCTGCGCTCGACAGCTCTTCCTTCATCCTTAAACTACCCGGATGTCTGTCACAGTAAATTGAAATTGAATTTTGAGAACTGAATTTGAATTGTGAGAACTGAATGTGAAGATATATAGAAATAAATTCAATTTCAAATTATACTATTCAGATTCAGTTTTTCAATGCAATGATTCAAATTAAACAATACAATTTCAAATTATGTGATTCACATTCAGTTTCTGGTGGCACATATTTAAGCCCATACCAGTCTTCCAATGGTGGGTTCACCCAGGTACATTTTGACCTCCACTGTTGCGTCTGCAGTGACATTTTGGGTCCTCGTCTGCAGGACTGTGGTGTCCAAATGATGCCACAGTTTGCTACCTAAGACAGAAAAACAGGCTGCAAGTGACTAAATACAATAACACAATTATACAAAATACAAAATATATCCATTACTTTGAGTCACAGGCTGAGAAGCTTCTGATATGTGCGGTTGTGATGATGATGATGAGGAGGAGGAAGAGGAGGAAGAGGAGGTGCTGTTTCTCATAACAGCAGCAAGTGGGCCTCTTCTCGGCATCTGCTGCTTTATTTGGGTTAAAGAAGCCAATCTTTTTGAACCTGGGATCGAGCAGTGTCGCCAGTGACATGATGCTCATTGACTGTGTGCAGCTTCTCCCTTAACTGTCTCCTCAGAGTCTCAGCCATTGCTGTGCTCTCTGGAGTTTGGACACATCCCCTTTTCTCCTCCAGTGCGTGGTGTAGCATTGACAAAAGGGGAATGACTTTTGATCTAGACACCCTCTTCTCCTCTGACAGCTCAACTGTGGCATCATTAAATGGGGACAGTCATTATTCTGCGATAATGACATACTGCTCTGATGAGAGTGGGGCAATGTCAGTGGTGCGTAGGCCTGCCAAAGCTGCTCCTACAGGTTCCCTGAGGTCATAAAGACATTGGGGCATATGGTATGTGCTGTTCCAGCGTGTGTCCACCTCTTGAATTAGCTTCAGTGCTGGCAGGCCCATTTGCTCCTGCACCTGTGTCAGCCTCCCCTATAAAATTAGCCAACAAAAAGTGATTGATTCAAGTGTCACTGCAGCAGCAACTTAAACAAAACAGCATCACTTAGAATATTGCAATGAAATAAAGGAACTCACCTTTGCAGTGGTGCTACTCTTGAAATAGCCCACTATCTTCCTTGAGTTTGCCCGGATGTCAGACAACACAGTGTTTTAGTCAAGAGCCTTTTTTATCAGTACATTTAAAGTATGCGCCACACAATTTGTGTGATGCAAACTAAGCTACTTGGCACAAGCACCCATATTTGCTGCCCCATCGGTCACAAGGCAAGTAACTTTGTGTGTAATACCCCACTCTGACATAAGTGCTGCTTTTACTTTTGCCAAATTTTCAGCAGTATGTGCCTGTGAAATGCAGCACCCCTAAAACAACAGAATGCAAAGAGGTGCTTGCATCTATAAAATGGCATGTCACAGCTAGATAAGCATCAGTGTTGATAGAGGTCCACATATCTGATGTTAAAATAACTGCAGATGCCTTAGCCACAATGGCTTTGGCTTTCTCCTTGGATTCCTTGTATCTGTCCTCCACCCATGGGCGGATCTACCGGGGTGGCATAGGGTGGCAAATGCCACCCTAAACGAAAGCCATGCCACCCCTGCTGCCACCCCAGTTGGCAGCAACGAATTCAAAGGAAAGTTATGGCCAATTTGACATTTACGAGCGCGAATCTCCAATGTCCGACTGCAGTGAATGCAGCACAAGATAACGCCAGAGCAGCAAGAGACTGCTTTGTTTGGAAAACTGAGTGGAGCCTATTCCAGAAAGCGGGTTTAGTGAAAACTCTGAGTATGTTAACCCTGAAATGAGGGAAACTCTGTGTTTTCAGTTCCAGAAAGAGAGGTAATTCAAACTCTGAGTCAGTCACCATGGCAACTGAGTCTGTGAACCTAACCTGCTCGCTGGTTAGGTTTTTCTCCATCTCCTCCCTCTTACACGCTGTTTCATTTCCTCATTCATTCAGTCCGTGTAAAAGCTTGTATCGAAGCGCATTAATTAGCGGAGATTTACCGTCTGTCACAGTCTAAATCCTGCTGGATATTAGTTTGTTACTCAGGACTGTCTTAAGTTACTGAATTTATGCACATCAATCATTTCTTTGGACATCAGTTTATTGTCTTTACATTCAAATATTACACAGCGAGAATTCATCCTCAGCTCAGAATCAAACCTCTGTTCTTTTTATATTTATTATTTTTTATAACACTGTGCACAAGGATCAGACTGTCAGTCTGTTAGAGCAGCTCCGAAATGTTTATTGCACATATTGTGTAGGTCTAATTATTTAAATTTTAAAAATCGGTATGAAGCTTTAGACATGTATCAATGACTAATGATCTCTATCACTGATGTCATTGGTTGCACTGATGGAACATAATTCCTATAGCCTAATATTGGGGATTATATGTTAATATTTCTGAGTGAGCAATGGTGCAGCATTTCAGAGTCTTTAAATTTACTGCATTTGTAGCTGAAAAAAAAGTCACTGAATGCTGTTGAGTCAAGATACAAATAGATGTCCAACATTTTAAAATTATTACTGGGTCAGACTGTGAGTTTACAGTCATGTCTTTATGTCTTTGATCTGTAGCCTAGCCTATATGTTTTAAATCTTCCTATTTTTCAGTTGCTGCCTCCTGTGTTTTTCCCCGTCAGATTAAATCTGAACAAATATATTATTATATATTATTAATATAATGTAATGTATCTACAGCCTGATACACAGTCAGATTCCACCACTTTATCTTCATTAAGGAAATGTAAGTCTGATAAATGATGAATAAACGGACAACACTGAATAAAACTTTTTTATTAACTTTATGGTTAACTTATTTACACTTTCCTCGCTCTGACTCAGGCTCTTCTTTTAAAGATAAACGTGCACCGTCTGCTACACATGCATTAATATCTCTACATCCACTGGATTAAAATGGAGGCGTTGTCTTTTATTTGTGAGTGAACATTCTCAGAGTTGACTAAACTAACTCAAATCAGCTGTTCTGAAACCGGTAACTCAGAGTTTCCCATCTCAGGGTAGATCATCTCAGAGTTCAGGGTTAGACTCAGGGTTTATTGAACCTCCTTCAACACTTATTCCTAATATGAACTGTTTCACATGAAACCTCAAATGCAAGACATTGATTGCATGAGATTAAGTTTGTCTGTATGAGTTTGTAAATGGCAGCCCGTGCCCTTATGTAGTGTGAACATACTGTTTCTCATCAGACTGTGATAACTGTGATTAAATTCAGTATATATACGTATGCCATATGTTGCCACCCCTCAAAAATTCCTGCCCCCCTCTTGCCACCCCATAAATATTTTTCTAGATCCGCCCCTGCCTCCACCATAGCTTTCAAAGCCTAAAGGAAAGAGGAGAACACTCTTGTAATGGCAAATATGGGGAAATGGGGAAAATGCTTCATGTGCTCACATACACACCTGCTTTGTGGGGAGAACATAGTGAGGGTTCAAAGCTTTAACAAGCTTTCTGAACCCTTTGTCCTCCACAATAGTGAAGGGCTGGGAATCCTCAATCACCATATTCTTCTCCTGATGACAAAAAAAAAATGCAGTATTCAATTAGAGAGGTCTTTAATTAGTCACATTTAAAATATACATTAATGTTGTCTAATACAAACGTACCATGTAATTATATGTTTGTATGCTGTCTTATCATTGCATCCTAAAATGGCTTACCTGAGCTTGGTCCACCTTGGTTGGTCTCCTTGTTTTCATGCAGGGCTCGGTAATGCCTCACCATAGATGAGGTGTTATTGTTGTATCCAAGTTCTTTTGAACACAACAGACACTTCACCTTTTAAAATACAAGAAATTAGAAGAAAGAAATTAGAACAAGGGCAAAGCTGCGTTGTCACATTTATTTATATTACGCTAGTTATTACTACTATGTGCATACCTTATTATGAGAGATCAGCTCAAAATGTTCCCAGACAGGGGAAAATCTCCTCTTTCTTGCTGGTTCCATCGCAAAAAAAAGAAGCTCGAATAGATCGCAAACAAACACGTAACAAAGTCCACAAAATGTGACGGGGGGGGATCCATTGCGTTTCGCTGCCCCTTATATTTAGAATCTCACGCCAAACCCGCGAACCGTTTCCTGAATCAGTCACGTGGTACGGCCGGCTCGTGAGGCTTCGAACGTCACCACATACGTCATCAACACAAGCCTTGATACGCGCTTCACAAAAATCTTCCCAGATTACTCGACACACGCTTTGAAGCCTCGACATGGAAGGACACATCACTAACTGCCATCGCGGAGTGCTGCTGCCATGACAGGGGGTACTTGGTCTGTAACAATGTTTGGGTGGGAGGAGTAAATGAAGAAGCATCCACATGAAATGCCACAACCCAGTAGTTTCCCAACAGAACACTGCACTGTAACAAGATGATTAATGTTATTCACCTCACCTGTCAATGGTTTTAATGTTTTGGCTGATCTGTGTATATCTGGTCTTTCTTTAGACTGTTCTCAGGTATTTATGTTTTCTTAATTTTTACACTTCTGCGTTTACCAATAAATAATATCAGGATTATCAGGAAATGTTTTCAGTCAAAAATAGCCAGAGAGACTTTATGAAGCAGTTCTTAAATAAAGTGATGGGCCACTTATATGCTATTTTTTTCTAAAGAATTCACTGGTGTATCAAATGTCTGAAGTTGTGTTTTACCTGATACCCTGTTCTGAATTGAACAGCTGCAGCTAGAACTAATCTCTGATGAGTCTTTGATATGTAACATGCCTGCAGATGGAAAATGGCATCCTGCTGCCAACCCTCCAGTCAGCTCTTCCCTTCCTCGACCTCCATGGAACACCTCGGCTCGAGTTCCACCAGTCTGTCTTTGATGAGCTTCGAGAAAAGCTGATGGAACGAGTTGCTATCATTGCAGAGGGCAAGGACGAGGACAGGTGTGTCATTGGTTGTTTTTGATTTTAAGTCATGTTTTCTGAAGGAACCTGCTTGGATGTTATTTTGCATTGTTTCTTTGAAACTTACAGATATGGGAAGCTTGAAGAACTGCTGGAGAAGAGCTTTCCCCTTGTCAAAATGCCATCCATTCAGCCAGTGGTGATGCAGGTGCTGAAGCATCTACCCAAGGTGAGTTTCTTCAGAACTATTTCTTTCTGTTTCTTTGTAATTGTTTTCCTGTTGAAGAATAAAAATAGTACTGTGGATGTGCATAGTACTGACATTTAACCAGCAATGCTGGGATCACAGACAATGTTTATTGTAACAAGTTAACATGCATACGGTCACAGATAGTACAGCCATTTCAAAACGGCTTTCAATGTGTGAAAGATGTTGTGTGTATTTTATTGTAGTCTTTTTTTTGTTTTGTTTTTCCTAAACGTTTAAATTTTATTTTTCTACAGGGGAAGCAGGTGTACATCAACATTTAATGTATGTCAGTTGTATACAATAAATATACATATCTTCTCACATTAACATACAACAGGGCATTAACAGAGAAATAGCTAAACAAAACAAAAAGCAACAAAACAAAAAATATAACTCCAACCCATTTCTGTTTAATTCATAACAATTAATCATATTATGAGTAGTGACTAAGGCATTAACAAATACAAGAAAACAACAATACAAAACACCTGCATATTTTATAGCTCCTTAACCCTGACCAACCCCGTCCCCACAGATCTTTCTCTAAATTTCACTACATGCTGGATATTTCAGATCAATACATAAAAAAAACAAATAAGAAGAAAGAGTTTTATCATAGTTATAGCTACGTTGAGTGCCTCCTTCCTAGCCTTGAGCACTACCTGACCTGCCCCATTCATTCTAGCAACAGAAAGCTCCATAGACATCACCTCTAGAGCAGTCAATCTCTAAACCAAGTGTTTCAGAGACGTTTTGTTATTTGGTCCCAGAAATTTCGAACTGATGACACTCCCTCATGATATGTAAAAAGGTTCCCATTTGATTAAAATCATATAAATTACAGTTTCGAGAAGTGGTTAAATTAATCAGAAAACGTCGCTTTGGTATTAAATAGGTACGATAGATGAAGTTCAGATTTGTTAATTTATTATTTAGATTTTGCGAGGAAAAGGAAACATTCCTCCAAACTCTAGCCCAGTCTACAGATGATTCAGAGCAGTCTTTATTCCATACTTTAGTTATTGCTAACGGGGTCTGTAACTGTTCCAACAAAGTGTTTTAAATTGCAGAAACATGTCCTTTAGTTATTCATGATAATTTCTAAAAGGATTCCATCATTGGATGATTAATAGGTTGTCTGTCGGTCAAAACACCTGCTGCCCGTAAAGCAGAGCATAGTTGTAAATATATAAAAAAGCAGTTTAATGGCAGTTTATATGTTTCCCTCAAATCCTGAAAGCTTCTTAACCAGCATCATTCATGATGTCTCCTAAGCTATGGATACCTTAATTGTACCACTGAGGTGAGATAAAATGTTCTCCTCCAGACTTTAATAAACTATTATAAAATATTGGCGTATTAGCATGCCATTTAGATGTCCAATTATATATCTTTTCCATTTTCCGAAAATTTTGAATTGCATGGGCTATTACTGAACCGTACTCCAGTTTACATTTACTAACAGAAAGACCTGTAAACAAAAACCCATTTAAAGGAACTGGTGCCACCAAATTCTTCTCAATATTAAAGCTATAGTGCGTAACTTCTGTCGCCTCCCAGGGGATAATGCGTTATTACAACTAATAAGCCGGCGGCACTTCCATGTACACAGATAACACTCGCCACACACCGTGTACACAGAGTAACACTCGCCAGTTGCCACACACCGTACATAGAGTAACACTTGCCTTTGTGGTAGGATCCACTTCTGAACCGTCTCTCGGCCGCTTCTCCGCCATGTTGCTTTCTCTTTCTACCTGCGCTCTACCTCTTGTTATGACACTCTCCGCTCTTCCTCCCCCTCCCTTCTTGTTGTGAGGAAGCATTTCCTGTGCGCCAGCGCGGGAATGTCGCTGGTCGACACGCATACTAAAAATGATATATATTGAAAAATACCGCAAGATGTTAGAGGAGCCGATCGGCTTAATCAGCATTGTGTCATCTCCTCTAGTAGTGGCTTGGGTGAAACGGACATTTACGGACCTGTAGAAGTTACGCACTATAGCTTTAAGCCATAGAATTGAAGAGTTCTCACTAAAGCAATTTAATAAGGGACGGATAGTGAGAGCATGAAAATAAAGACTCCCTCTTTCTTTGTAAATTGGCTAATTCTATTTTAGGGGTTCTGCCTCTCCATAAAAATCTGGTAATAATACTCAGGGCTGTATGTTAACTTTTTTAGCCCATAGCACTGGTGCTACAGAGGGTGATAATTTTGTAGCACCTGTCACGATAACAAATTTTGTTGGGCAATTAATTGCATCAGAAATTATTGCAACAAGCGATAATATTGTGCAATATTGAGCTTTTAAGACCATTTTTATTATTATTGTAATTTTGCTGTTTTTAGACTATTTTTTAAAACTTATATAATGATAATAAAGGCATAGTGATACAAGTACACCCTTTTAAAGAGAAATAAACATTTATTTAACAAGAATATTTATAAAAAAAAAAATAGACTGTCAGTCTCTCACTCTCAGGTGTGCAGTTAAGTTGGTCGTATTCGCTCTTTTTGTTGTGATGGTTTTAGAACAAACCCGGCATACTGGCTTGTTCAAATTACTGGGCTCCCCTTTGTCATTTGGTTTAAATCCAAAACAATCCCACACAGGGGCCGTGGCATTTGGTTTAGGAACAAGGTCCCTGTCTTTCTCTTATGCTCAACTCTCAGTTTTCTTCTCCGCCTTGTCCCCCCCCCTCACAAAGATCGCTCTGTGTGTATGTGTAGCCCATAGCCCCTCCTCCCCCACAGAGACAAAGACACTCGATGACAAGAGCTTTCCCTCCTTTCATTATGCTAATGAACCAACTCACTTGGCTGCCAGACGATGCACGGCAGTGAATGCTCTTGTTGTCTAGTGAAAAAATGAGAAAAAACAGACTACGCACACAAACAAGCGGCTCACAAGCAGTCTGTCGCACGCGTGCTACTAGGCAAATAAATTCATTGCACAAACTTTTTTTTTCATCGCATGTGCGACATATATGTCACACTGTACAGCCCTGTATGTATTTTGTCCCAGTATCTCGGAGGTGGTGCTAGAGGTAGCATTTAGCTACAGAAATTGATTCTAGGAAGCATGTTCATTTTAATTATTGAAATTCTGCCAGACAAAAAAATAGGTAGCTTATGCCATCTTTCCAAATCATGTTTGATCATGCTAAGAGTACTATTATAGTTCTTAGAGATTGTTTTTTCTAAGGATATAAATACATTTATCCCTTAATATTTAAAGTGAGACAATACTGGGATTTTTTTTTATTTATTTATTTATTTTTTATATATTTTTTTTTTTACTTTGCACACTCATCTTTGCTCATAGAATTCGGTGGTAACAGAGAGGACTTGGACCAGTTTATTTTATAGCAAGAGACATAGCTAAACTGTTCAAAAATATTGAGAATGTTTGGAAGAGAGTACTTTATATCAGAAGAGAATAAAAGAACGTCATCGGCAAATAAGGATATGTGATGCTGAGTGGATTTTATTTTTATTGGTATGATGTTTGGAGATGACCTAATAGACTGTGCCAAAGGCTCCAATGATAAAATAAATAACACTGATGAAATTGGATCTCCCTGTCGACTGCTTCTGCTTATTTTGAAGGGAGCAGAGTGTATGTTACCAGTAACTACATTAGCTGAAGGATTTGCATATATAGTTTTGATTATGTTAATAAATTTAGACCCCAAACCCATGCAATTCAATACGGACCATAAAAAAGACCACTCAAGCCGGTCAAAGGCCTTTTCTGCATCAACTGATAAAATAGCTTTTGGGGAGAGATTATCAGAGGTATCAAGAATATGTAATAGGCGACGTAATTTTTTCTTTTTTTTTTNGCTGAGTGGATTTTATTTTTATTGGTATGATGTTTGGAGATGACCTAATAGACTGTGCCAAAGGCTCCAATGATAAAATAAATAACACTGATGAAATTGGATCTCCCTGTCGACTGCTTCTGCTTATTTTGAAGGGAGCAGAGTGTATGTTACCAGTAACTACATTAGCTGAAGGATTTGCATATATAGTTTTGATTATGTTAATAAATTTAGACCCCAAACCCATGCAATTCAATACGGACCATAAAAAAGACCACTCAAGCCGGTCAAAGGCCTTTTCTGCATCAACTGATAAAATAGCTTTTGGGGAGAGATTATCAGAGGTATCAAGAATATGTAATAGGCGACGTAATTTTTTCTTTTTTTTTTCTTTTTAACAAATCCACTTTGGTCTGGATGAACCAATTTAGGCAAGTAGACCTCCAACCGACTAGCAAGTGTCTTTGAAAATAATTTAATATCTGCATTTAATAGAGAGAGAGGGTGGTAGTAAGCGCAATTAGTTGGATCCTTATCTTTAGAGGCGTTATTAGTGCCATATTTACATCTCTTCCAAAAGATCCTTTGTGAATAGCTGTGTCAAACATCTCTAATAATCCAGCATTTTAAATAGACCTCAGGATGTATGCCATCAATTCCAGGTGACCTGTCTTTATTTATTTTTGCTAAAGATTGTTTAAGTTCATCAAGAGATAAAGGGGCCTCTAATATTGATGCTTCATCTGTTGATAAGGAAGTTAATTAAGTTTCTCAAGATAGTTGTCCTTATCTGATGCTGAGGAAAGATTGTCTGAAGTGTACAGCTGTCTATAGAAGTTGGAAAATCTTTGAATAATCAGCTTAGGGTCTGATAACATGGTCCCAGCTTCTGGTGTAATAAATCCTATATTTGTAAATTGATCATTTATTTTTAATTTATTAGCTAAGAGCCTACTAGGGCAGTTACCATAAAAATAGAGATTAATTCTATTTTTATGTATGGCAAGTTCTACTTTTGTTTTAGTTAAAGACTTTGCTGTTTGTTATTGTAGTCTGTTTTGTGATCATTTTTAACCAATGTAAAGCGTCTTTGAGTACCTTGAAAAGCTCTCTGTTAATAAAATGTATTATTATTGTTATTACTAAGTTTATGATATAATACCCCAATAAGACTGACACCATGATGTACTAGTGCTTTATCTGTAAGGTCAGTGAGTGTCAGTCATCCTACCTTTTGTAACAACCCTGCTCCTGCCCAGGGTTAGATGAGGGTCAAATATTGCCTTGATCTAAAATGATTGATTTTTTTATGGATTGTCAGTTACAGAAACAAAAAATCCAAATGATGACATGTTATATACTAAGATGTTAGAAGAAAAAGAAATCACAAAAAAGCATAACACATTCAACAAAAAAACTAAACAAACACAATCCTAAGATCCAAAAAACATCCCCACAATTTAAAAGTACTCCCACATCAAAAAACAAGAACAGCTAAAATAACAGTCTCATTGTAAATTTCATTATAAATATTACCCTGTCCAACAAAAACATCCTCACCTGACTTCTATAAGCCCCTTTCATATTTAAAGACTGGGGCCTGTATTTACAAAGCCTCTTAGAACAAAGATTTGGTCCTTGTGAATTTCTTTAAACAAAGATGTTTGCTAAGAATTTCCTTTTAAAGTTAGACTAGGTCTTGGTAAAAATAAAAATTATTCACAAACCATCTTAGCCCTTAAGAGCACTTCTAACGACACTTCTAATGACAGTGATTAATGAAACTCCATAGATTAGATGGCGTAGGGATACATTTTGTGGTCAGTCTCATTAAAGATGTGCTCACATCTTCCACCCAACACAATAACGATACAACGCCAGAACTAAAGTAATGACAACACTAAGACACCTGATGACATCTTCCCCTGGCTGAAAGCTGCAGTCATATCTAAGTGACTGAAGGAAATAGCATCAAGTTGTATTCAATAGGAAAACTGGAAGATGCAATAGTGCAGCAGTGATGACTTGGGTTTGTCTCGACCTTCCATCAGCAGGGTGTTCACACTAACAGTGACAACACTTTCACAGTCTGTAGCCCCTTTTACACTGCCAGATTTTCCGCGAATGTTGGGCCATTTTGCTGGCAAGCTGAGAACATTTAGACACACAGAGCAGGAATGACGAGTTGATCCAAGGTGCCCAATTTTCAGCCTCGTAAGGTAGTCATATTGGCGGAACCCTTTTAGTTTAAAAAGACAGAGGCGGCCTTCCGCAACGGGAGGGGCTGTTGATGGCTTGTGGGAGGAGCTGTTGATGGCGCTGCACGTGCGACCCACTGGCAGTGGATAAACAGGAAACAGCTGATAGCAGGAATGAGCAGCTAGTAACAAGAGGGAAACGCAAACCTGACCGACACTGTAAAGATGAGCAACTGGGGAGACAAGGAATTGCGCGCCCTCCTTGCCCTCGCAAATGAAGAGGCCATTAACCATCAGAAAACTGGAACGGTGAAGAACGGGCCGACTTACGAGAGAATCGCCGAAGGACTGACTAGCCGTGGCTTCCCTCCCACGTCACTGTTTACGTCACACGCTGAGCTATACGTTTTGTTACTTGCTCACTCCCCCCATTGCCCCAAAAAGGCGCATTCTGTTTAAACAAAAGTAGGTAGGTGCCATTTTGCTGCACTCCCAGATTTTGTTTTTATACTGCCAATGCTGAAAGAAGACTGATTGGGCTTCCCTGCAAATTTGCACAATTCCTACTGTATCTAAAAAAGGCTTCTAGTTCATTTCATTTCCATTGGGTGTCCACACTCTTCAGGCTCACAAATGGACAACAGATCACATCTGTCAAAAGAACATGTCAAACCTAGCATCTGGGTCAACCACACCTCCTCACTGAGGTCAAAGTTTCTGTCCCTTCCATACTCATGAGAATTTCATAAGTCACTCCTAAGCTAGGACTCCTTGCCAGATTTTTTTAGGCCAAGTTTAGAGCTTTATGAGAGTATTGTCAGAATGGTTGTGAATACAGCCGCTGTTGACAAAAGAAGTCTTTATCCATTGATGGGGTCATTCCTCATAAAATGACAAGCTGACTTGGTGATTCAGTGATGACCAGAATATCAGCTTTATTTTTTATTTTTTTACAAATTGTATAAGTGCTTAGTGAGGAGGCCTAGTTGATTTTGGATCAAAGTGTGAAGAAGAAAAGATCTAAGTGACTTTATCACATGATGAATAGACCTACTCTGATGGGAGTGCTCTGTTCCATAAGGACAATGTTCCCCTCCACAGTGAATGCAGGCTCCCTAACTGGTTTGATTAGTATGTAAATGATGTGAATCATAATTTGTGGCCTTCACAGTAAGCACATTAAGGCCCAACTGAACACCAATGGGGGATTTTAATGCAACATGTTAGACAGTGCCCTCCACCACCATCATCAAAACACCTAATGAAAAACTGCTGTTCATCCCTCCAGTAGAGCCCTGCATACTTGGAGAGTCTATGATACACATAAGCTGTTCTGTTTGTCCTTTTATTTTTTTTTAATTTGTAAGCATTGTGTACCCTGTTATGAGTGGTAGTGTATGAATTCTACCCTCTGGGAACCTTGAATGTTTATTTGGTATAGGGACAATTATTGAACTGAAATCTTCAAATTGGCTGAGCAGAAAGTGAAGAACACCCCCTTACCCTTATCACATGCTTTCTCCTGCAGGTGCCAGAAAAGAAACTGAAGATGGTGATGGCTGATAAGGAGCTGTACAAAGTGTGCGCTGTAGAGGTGAAAAGGCAGATCTGGCAGGACAACCAGGCTCTGTTTGGGGATGAAGTCTCACCCCTCCTAAAGCAGTACATTGTGGAGAAGGAAGCAGCCTTGTTCAGAAGTGATCTCTCCATCTTGCACAATTTCTTCAGCCCATCTCCTAAAACACGACGGCAAGGCGAGGTGAGTCACAGTCATTCGATGAGATGTCTGATAAACGCTAGCCAAAGTTTTTGACACATCACAATCAGAATAAGGTTCATTGCCAAGAGGGGTTGTTTACATCTGAGGAATTTACCTTTGCGTTTGGTACATACAATTAACATGTAGAGAAGAAATAGAAATAAAAGCGAAGTACTGCAGAAGTCAAGAAACACAAATATAAAGTACAAAAATTACAATGAAAAAAGGAAAAAGTATGATAAAGATATGTACAATATAAGTGTTTAAGTGAGAGATTTGTCCAGTTTTGTGCAGAAGTTGATGAATCCCTGTGTGAGATTAAGCTTTTCTGTTGTTGTAGGTGGTCCTAAAACTGACACAGATGATTGGAAAGAACGTAAAGCTGTATGACATGGTGCTGCAGTTTTTACGAACACTCTTCCTGCGAACACGGAATGTCCATTACTGCACACTGAGAGCAGAGCTGCTGATGTCTCTTCACGACCTGGACATCAGTGAGATCTGCTCCGTAGACCCCTGCCATAAGGTCAGGATACGAACAGTTATGGCAAACCTGTTCAGTAACACCATTGTACCCCTGAAGAGCCCCAAACCCTGTATTGTGTTTTAGCTTTGTGTTACATTTTTTCCTCTGTGTGCTGTGACAGTTTACTTGGTGTTTAGACGCCTGCATCCGTGAGAAGTTTGTGGATGGTAAGCGAGCCAGAGAGCTGCAAGGTTTCCTGGATGGAGTGAAGAAAGGACAAGAGCAAGTCCTCGGGTAACAGATGATAGGATGGTTAAAATGTATGAATAGAGCTGCTCATCTCTGATGAATCGATGAATTAATCTCTGGAAAGTTTGTGTGCACTTAGGGACCTGTCCATGATCCTGTGTGACCCGTTTGCTTGTAATACCCTGGTCCTGAGTATCATGAGGAACCTGCAAGAGCTGCTGAGTCAGGACGCTTTACCAAGGGTGAGCATACTGTGCGCAAGGACACAAACATGGCATTGTGTCCCTCGGTCAGAATTATCAAGTTTTAAGGCACACTCCTACATAACATCAGAATCAGAATCAGACATACTTTATTGATCCCTGAGGGGAAATTATTTGCGTTACAGGTGCTCCTTGCAAGAGTGGAAAGATAAGTGAAAATATAAGAAATTTAACAACAGTATTTACAAATATATAGTTCAAATAAACAGGATTAATAACAAAAAATAAAAGTATATATATATATATAGTATAAATAGATAATACACAGAATATATACAGTCAAGGTGAAATGGGGTTATTGCACAAGTTAAATTAAATTATTGTCATTGTGTACCCCAGGTACTTTTAGTCCTCCACAATGTCCACACTGACCCCCTGGATGGAAACAGGGGTCACCGGTGTCTTGGTCCTCCTCAGATCTACAGCCAGTTCCTTTGTCTTTGCCACATTGAGCTGCAGATGGTTCTGCTCACACCATGTGACAAAGTTATCCACAACAGCCCTGTACTCATCCTCATCACCCTTGCTGATACATCCAACTATAGCAGAGTCATCAGAAAACTTCTGAAGATGGCAGGTCTCAGTGCAATAGCTGAAGTCTGTGGTGTAGAGGGTGAAGAGGAAGGGGAGAGAGGACTGTCCCCTGCAGGGCCCCGGTATTGCTGACCACTCTGTCTGACACACAGCGTTGCTAGCACACATACTGTGGTCTGCCAGTCAGGTAGTCTACAATCCAGGACACCAGGGGGGCATCCACCTGCATTGCTGTCAGCTTGTCACCCAGTTGAGCTGGACGGATGGTGTTGAACGCACTAGAGAAGTCAAAAACACATGACCCTCACAGTGCTCGCCGGCTTGTCCAGGTGGGCGTAGACGCAGTTGAGCAGGTAGATGATGGCGTCCTCAACTCCAAGTCGGGGCTGATAGGCGAACTGGAGGGGGTCCAAAAGTGGCTTGACCATGGGCCGGAGCTGCTCCAAGACGAGTCTCTCCAGGGTCTTCATGATGTGGGAGGTCAGTGCCACGGGTCTGTAGCCCTTGGAGCCACTGGGATGCGACGTCTTTGGTACAGGAACGAGGCAGGATATCTTCCACAGCATGGGGACCCTCCTGGAGACTTAGGCTCATGTTGAAGACATGCTGAAGTACTCCACATAGCTGGGGGGCACAGGCTTTGAGCACCCTGGGGCTGCAGCCTTATTTGAGTGGAGTCTCATCAGCTGTCTTCTCACATCGTCAGCAGTGAAGCACATTGTGGAGGTGATGACAGGTGGGGGAGGGGTGTAGTCCTCATGATGGAGAGTGCAGTCGGTAGGCCCGTTTCCACTGCAGGAACTTAGGGGTAATTTTACGGGGCCGGGGCCGTTGGTGCGTGTCTCCACCGCAGGAACCACCCCCAAAGGACAGAGTTCCGGAACTTCTACAGGGGCTAAACAAGTCCCTGCCTCGGAGTAGGTACTCAGAATGGCCCCGAGAAACTCCTGGCTGGGGCTTGGGGTTTACTTGGTGCTGATTGGAGATATTCAAGGCGGGATGTGACTAGGGATGGGTATCGTTAAGATTTTAACGGTACTACTACTCTTATCGATACTGCTTATTGATCCGGTATTTTAACGGTGGTCTTATCGATACTTTTTGAGGAAGAAAAAAACAAATTAAGAACATAAATTGCTTTATTTTCTCAATTCTCATTATGCAACAAAATAGTTTTTTAACAAAACATTTTACTTTTTACAACTTGAAATGTAAAATACATAAAATAATAGTGTTGTCACGGTACCAAAATTGGGACCCACGGTACGATACCAGTGAAAGTATCACGGTTCTGAGTAGTATCACGATACCATAGCAAAAATTATGCAGATGTGCCTTTTGTCATTTATAAAAAGATAAATCACTTTTCTATAATACATCAATGATATTTCAATGGAATAAATTACTTATTGACTTATTCATACTTCAAAAACAGCATCAATAAGTGATTAACATAGGGGGGATCAAAATAAAATAAATAAATAAAATGAAAATCAACCAGCCACCCTCCTCCCCTGACAAGTAAAGAACAGTCCCTAAAGTGCACTGAGGTTTGTGGACCGTTACCTGCCACAAAGAGTAATGTTGTCCATTAAGGTCAGAGCTGATCAATACTGCGGTCTTGAAGAATGTAGCCCCGGGGCTCGTTCAGTACCGGAGTTCGGTACCCATCCCTAGATGTGACATCAACATAAAGCGACAAAATAGCCGGCATTTTTAAAACTCGGCAGATCCCAGACGAGGGTTAGCTCGTTCATAGCTTCCACCGCCATGTAGGGAGGAGTGGGGGAGGAGGGTGGAGTGGGTGATGGTTGTCCAAGACAGACAGCAGAAGAGTCAGAGGGGGATAGGCAGGGCCAGCAGTGTCAAATCTGTTAAAAAAACAGATTCAGTTCATTGGCCCTGACCATGCTGCCTTCAACTCCTCTGTTGTTGTTCGTCCTGAAGCCAGTGACGGTCCTCATTCCACTCCAGCTTCCTCCTGTACCTCTCCTTAGCCTCCCTGATCTTCATCTTCAATTCCCCCTGTATTGTTCTCACCTCCTCCCTGTTACCAGCTCTGAAGGCCCTCTTCTTTGCATTGAGGATGGCTTTGATGTCCTTTGTTACCCACGGTTTGTTATTTGGATAACAATGGACAGTCCTGGCTGGGACAGTGGAGTCCACACAGAAACTGATGTAGACCGTGATGCATTTTGTGAGCCCATCAATGTCCTCCCCATGTGGCTCACAGAGTGCCTGCCAGTCTGTCACACCAAAACAGCCCTGCAGTGTCTCATAAGCCTCCTCCGACCATCTCCTCACTGTCCTCATGGTTGCAGGCAGGCTCCTGACTAGTGGTACATAGCAGGGGTTGAGGTGCACCAGGTTGTGGTCTGACCTACTCAGAGGGGGGAGGGGGGAGCAGCTGTATGCATCCTTGGCGTTTGCATACAGCAAGTCCAGTGTTCTCTCTTCTCTGGTAGGACAGCTCACATACTGTGTAAAGGTGGGCAATGTTGTTGCCATGGTGACATGGTTGAAGTCACCCGAGATAGCTATGAAGGCACTCGGGTGTTTAGTCTGCAGGCGGGCTATGGTGGAGTGAATGACATCACATGCCAACGTCGGGTTGGCAGAGGGGGGGATGTAAACAGTTACAATAATGGCATGTGAAAACTCCCTGGGCAAATAATACGGCCTGAGTCCAACAGCAAACAGTTCAATGTCTGGGCAACAGATACGTTCCTTAATAGAAATATGGTCAGGACTGCACCATCGGTTGTTGACTAGAACGGCAAGCCCCCCTCCTTTGCGCTTACCGCTCTCGGTGCAGTCCTGGTCAGCCCGAACAGTCTGAAAGCCACTGATGGAGATGTTGTTGTCAGGAATGTCCTGGTGAAGCCATGTCTCAGTGAAGCACATCAGACTACATTCCCGGTACTCCTTCTGACTCCTGGTGACTGCTGTTAGCTCGTCCGTCTTATTTGCCAGCGACCTCACGTTGCCCATGATGAGAGAGGGGAGACAGGGCTTATATTTCCTCTTCTCCATAATCTTTGCTTTTTTTCCTCCGCTGTTTACTTCCTCCCCTGCATCCTCTGTGTGTTTTCCTCCACATTTCAGCTGGGATCTCTGATGTTCCGGCCGCCAAGCCGGCCAGCCTCAGTGCAATCAGCTGATCTCTGGAGTAAACAATGCGGCCATGAAGTTGTTGCACAATGATGCCGGGTCCAAATGAAAGAAGTAATTCCAGAGTGAGGAAACAGAGCACAAGTCTCTCAATCAGCGTGTTTGGAGAGGGTGCAGTTTCAAAGCGTCAGTCATAAAAAAACAAGCACAAATACCTAACTTCGCTTCGCCAACCTCGCTTTCATCTCTAAAGTCATAGAATGCACAGTAGCCTCCCAACTCCAAGACCATCTGTCAATAAACAGCCTCCTTGAGCCATTTCAGTCCGGTTTCCATCGCAATCACAGCACAGAAACAGCTCTCATTCAAATAACAAATGATCTTCTTCTCGCAGCAGATTCTGGTCTTCTCACCATTCTCATAATCCTTGACCTCAGTGCCGCCTTCGACACTATATCTCACTCAATCCTTCTCCTCGATCGCTTGGCTGGCACTGGGGTCTCTGGCACTGCTCTTCTCTGGTTTCATTCATACCTGTCCGACCGTTCACAGTTCATTCAAGGCCAAAACACCAGATCGTCGCCCTCACTACTCACTCACGGTGTTCAGTGCTAGGCCCTCTTCTCTTCATCATCTATATCCTCCCCCTTGGCAATATTTTCCATCACTTTGGTATCCACTTCCATTGTTATGCCGATGACACCCAAATTTACATTTCCACTAAACCCGACTTTACCTCACCCCCAGCTGCCCTCACTGACTGCCTGCAAGCCATCAATAACTGGATGTCAAATAACATGCTCAAACTCAACACCAATAAAAGTGAAGTTCTCCTCATTGGATCCAAGTCATCACTCTCCAAAGCCCACCCCCACAGTATTCCCATCGACGGCTGTTTGGTCCCCACCACATCACAAGTTAAAAGCCTTGGTGTTATTCTGGACAGTACCCTTTCATTTACCTCCCACATCAACAACACCTCACGCACCGCATTTTTTCATCTCTATAATATCTCCAGATTCCGCCCCTCCCTTTCTCAGCATTCTACAGAAGTCCTCATCAATGCACTGGTCACCTCTCGTTTGGATTATTGTAACTCCCTTCTCACCGGTCTACCACACAAACTCATTCACCGTTTACAAACCATCCAGAACTCTGCTGCTAGAATAATCACTCGCACTAGATCCTCTGATCACATCACTCCAGTCCTCATCCAGCTCCATTGGCTCCCTGTCCAGCAAAGAATACAATATAAACTCCTCCTGATAACATTCAAAGCCCTCCATAATCTGCCCCCCCCCCCCCAAATCTCTCTAACATGCTTCACCCATATA